GGGACTATGTGGAGAGCTGAATCTGGTAATGTAGACCACAGGATATCAACAAAACAGTTCAAAAGTATCATGCTCCTCATGATACTTAGATATCATTAGTCCGACCGCTTGTAGCTTCATGATCATATACTTCTGAGATGATTTAAATTGGAATGAAAATAGTTGTTCAATATTCACAGGTTTTTATTGATGTCAGACAGTATTGAACATATCATCTTTAATAAAACCATAACTATTCTATCCCTTAATGATACTATGCTGATCGTGATGAATTTGACGATTAAACATTTTTTAGACAAAAGTACATAGGAGATAAATACACTTTTCTCCCATCAATAAGTACATCTAACTGGTTTGTTTAGACATAATAATGATAATAATAAACTTAAAAGTGCAATAACATAAGACATCAATCAAAAGAAAATCAGCGTTGATTTTTATTTCAAAAATTATTGTAGATAATACTTTGTTGATGTTTTTCCAGAAAGTTGATCTATTTACTGAATAAGTGTTGAAAAAAATGAGAGAGTCTAAATAACTTGTTTCGAAATGGAATAATAAAAGGGAATTGTAAACAAAGATGGATAGTGGCTAGCAGTGAAATCCAGTTTGACGCGCGCTTCGTCCTATTTGGGACTCGTCAGCTGGATGTACCTGCATCTCAGAGTTGATGATAAATCTGGGACTCGAACCCAGTACCTTTCGCTTCAAATGCCATCGCGTTATCCACTCAGTTACTGAGTCCTGATAGCCACTTGCTTGTTCGATGGGGTGAAGTTTAAATTCATTTACTATTGTTTGTTTGAATCTTCCCATCGATATGTTAGGACTGCAACTGGTCAGTCTCTAATGCTTACTGAATCTATATAAAGTAGTTTGAACTTTCGTATTATTATTATCGAAGTACAATGTTCAACGCAAGTGTAAACTCTGAACAGCAGATGACTCTGAAAAACTATTTCCTTCTTTATAACATTATTTATGACTCGTCATCACTATACACTTACAGTTTTATTTTACGAAGTAAATTTACATTTTCTTTTCGGCTTATTGCTTTACTGTATTTGTTCAATAATTTCAGTACTTGATATCTTACACATTAACTGATTAGATACAATTAAAAGTGTAGACTTGATTGATGGAAAAATAAAAATGTTGCAGAAAAGAAATTAATCAAGTTAATTTGAAACATAATCACCTTTGCTGAAAATGTCAATGAAAACCTATGATCTTCACAAACTATATAATTGGTTTCTAGGGAAGTCTAGACATTTTTAAATCTAAAAGTGAAATCACTTTAATTTCTCATTTAAAGGTTTTTTATTAAAGTACGTTGTTAAGAAATATTCAAATGCTATCACGTTACACTGTGGAAACTAGTCTTAGTGACTTGACATCGGGTGCACTGTGTTTTGATGTTAAGTGGTTGGATGAAGTCCTTGGGATAATCATCAATGCTCAGGAACCAATTAATTTAGAAATTTCGGTCCTATATGAAGTCACTCACAACTATAAAAGCCCAGTGGTAATATCTCATACTGTGAAACTGAGTAACCCAGGTTCCAAGCCACCAGAAAACATCAGTCTCATCACGACTGCCGGTACGCCTTTTTTGGATAATATTTAGGATCAGGGTGTTCTGACAATTACCTCCGAGCACCTAGTGATAATAATATCAATTGGATTGTAAACATGTCTTTCAGAAGCCTTAGTATTAACCGAGCTCTATCTATCAGATGCCCATTCACATTTTCGAGTAAAAGCATACCACAATCTCAAAATAATAACAAACAGTTGATCCACGGCACTTTTATATAGACCTAACTCCAAGCTATATCTATTCTTTATTTATTAATCCCATTTAATTTACCATTGATATATTAATCAGATTTACATCAAAAATAATCTGGTTATGTATGTATTTTGATTTATTTGTGGTCTGTTGTAGCCTGATACTTTAAATCACTATTCATCAAGTGAATTATGAGTTTAAAATATATAAGCTGATCGGCTAGTTTTTTTTGTTTTCTGGAATGTGAAGACAGATGCTAAACCTACTTTTTATCCGAAATGTCCAGTACAATATGCTGCTCTTGAACTAGTCGATCAGGAACTGAATCGTTTGCACAAAGCTGGTGTAATCCAACTAGTCAACTATTCTGCATAGGCCGCACCGATCATCGTGATTAATAGGGCCAATGGAATTATACGCATATGTACCAATTTCTCAACCGCTTTAAACGCTGCATTGGATGTATATCACTATATGTTACTAGTTCCTGAAGACCTGTTCGCTAAGCTTAATGGTGGAACACGTTTTGCGAAAATATACTTCGATGCCTGCCTGCAAGTGGAAACAGATGATGGTAGAGAGCTTATCACTATGAACATTCATCGAGGGTTATTTCAATATACAAGCCTATCATTTGGTATCAAGACTGCACCTGCCATCTTTCAGTAAATGGATACAATGCTAAAAAGTACACCTCGAACAGCAGCTTATCTACGCCATCTCATAGTTAAAGGTTTAACTGACAGAACTTTCTGATCGACATATCAAGTTCTTAACCGAGTGATGGAGTATGGTTCCTAACTTCGTCAAGAAAAGTGTATCTTCCTCATGCATACGATCAAATAACTTGCTTTCAACTTAGATAAGAGTGGTTGCCGACCAGACTCAGCCAACACTGAAGCCATTCAGAAGATGCCTGTACCAACTGATGTCCCTTCATTAAGATCCTTTTTCGGACTAATTAGTCATTACAGCACATTTTTCCCTGAATTAGTTAGTAAAAAGACAAACATTGGCAGTGGTCATCAGAATGTCAGGCATCTATTGACAAAGTCAAATTAATGCTCAGCTCGAAATTTCTTTTAACACACTTCGACCCAAGCTTGTGGATTGTTGTTGAGTCTGATGCCTCTAGTCATAGGGTTGAAGCAGAGATATCCCACGTGTTTAAAGACAAATCACAAAGGACGATTGGTTATACTGCTAGATCAACTACCTCAGCCGAACGGAATTACAGCCAGATTGAAAAGAAAGCCTTTGCAATCATTTTCGCTGTTGGGAGACTCCAGAAAATTCTCTACGGCAGTACGTCTACTCTACTAACAGACCATAAACTTTTAATTGCAATTTCTGGTCATAAAAAAATCGCTGTTCATGTGGCTAACAGATTACAGCGCTGGGAGACAATTCTCCTGAGTTATGAGTTTGATGTCAAGTATCAGTCGACAAATTGCCGGTGGGCGGTCTATGCTCCTCTACGAAGGGTAACAGGCGTAAGTAAGTAATCAGTCAACAAATACTATCGGTCAAACCAACTCTCTCTCTCTCTCGGTTGATTAAAACTCAACACCCCGGACCGGAGGACATGATATTTGCCTACATAGCAGTAAATCCAGAAATAAGGTGTTTGGTAGCAGAGGCCACTCGAAACACGATAGTGTCATCAGATAGTCAAAGAAACTCTTCGAGACCCAATCCTACAAGAAGTTAAAAAGTACCACCTAGAAGATTGGCCCTGCAAGATCAGCTCCACAGAACTTCAGCGCACACCACCAATCATTGATGACTGCCTTCTGTTTACAGAACGTGTCGCGATACCAAAGAAGTTGCAGCTACCAGTGCTTGAACAGTTGCACACAGGACATCCTAAAATAAATCGCATGAAAGCGCTGGCACGAAGTTATGTATATTGGCCTCATTAAGCCGCCCGATTGGAGCAGCTATCCCGTTCATATATAAAATGCGCATTAACAACAAAGACACCGCAGTCACGGTGCATACAATTAGACTTTGCTGGTCCACTTCATGGACAAACTTACCTATTAGTAGTTGATGCATACAGCAAGTGGTCAGAAATTTTCCTCATGGGACAGCCAACTGTAAACTGCGTAATCAGAAAACTACTTCAACCATTCAGTCGCTTCGGAGTCCTAGAACTAACAATTGGCGACAATGGAACACAGTTTACATCTGCTATTGTCTCAGAATTTTTTCGGCAGACTGGAATCAATTAGGTCCGAACACCTCCATTCCATAGCCAATCCAATGGAAAAGTCGGAAGCTTTGTTGATACATTTAAAAGTGTTCTTCAATAATTAAAATGGAGAAGAAACTGCATCGACGTCATAGGGTACAAAAGCGATTGTTCACTGTGGGTCAAAAAATATTTGCTATGGATTATCGTGCCAAAAATCTTACATGGATAGCTGGTCGGATAGTGCAAAAGGTGTGGTTTACGAGTTGTCGGTTGGCTCAGAAGTTTGAGTGCGTCATGCTAACTAAAAGCAACTCCGATCGCCAGCAACTAGATTTGACATAGAACACCTTTTGATGTTCTGCTGGACATCTTTCAAATAAAAACCCCAGAAAAAGGACAGACCAGTCTCTGTGCAAAGTGATACCACTTCATTACTAAATAAAAAGTGGACAAATCGGAAGTCATGCAGTTCCATATGGACTCTGACACCAGATCCTACGAATCTGCCCAAATGGGAGGTGTCAGAGGGATATAGACTAAATTAAACTATGTTCCGTGCAGAATCATGTTGGAACGCGATGATTGGCCATTTCTTATTAAATCATAGCTAGCGGATACTTGGAGAAAACTGCAGAATCTTCTTGTACAAAATTATAAATATACTTACGTTCTTATTGTGATTACTACTTCCATCCAACTTTTTCTATTTGGAATATGGTTGCGTTTCTGTTCAACTGTGTTCTCATTAGGAGGCTTGTCGAGTGAAGTAAAGTGTCCAAAAGATACTAAGCAGGAAGAATAGCCGGGTCGTAATACGAGAGACATAACACAATCATACAAAGAACTTCATATTAAAAGATACTACTTGTGGACAGTTTTTCTGCTGTCAGGTAGCGTTTGCTTCTGCACAGATAACACCAATCTAATATACAGAAATGACGCATAATCGTAGTCATACAACATACATTTCAGATTGACTCGATAGATAAATTTTCACTGAGAACAAATGACTTGACTGGGAAAATACACTTTTTTTAATCAGCATTAATGAATCGAAAAAGATCGTAGTTATTTAGAATTAATTTGGTTCTGAAACTAAAGAAAACCATAGCATAACATATCTTTTTATTTACAGAAATAAGAAACAACCATAGATTCGTAGTGATTTTTTGTTCTTTGTTGGAATTATTGCTTTTCAATTAACGTCCCTCGAATTCGCCTTTGTTGAGCCTCTTCATTGGCCTGTTAAATAAACATAGAATTGATGAGTTTACATCGAACTGGAATAAGTTTCCTGATAATTATTTTGAACTTATATATTATTATTGTCAATAATAATGTACAATAGGAATTCATTAAACAGGTTGACAAACCAAATGAAGGGCTTTAAGATAACCAAAATAGTTAATTATCTGAAATGCAGATAATATACTGCCATTAAATATATATGACCGTCTTAATGGCAAGTATGCTGTGACTTTAAAAATCATAAACTTGAAAATTGTATCTTTACAACTTTTGAACATGATAAGTGAGGCGGGATTCTAACTAGGTGTCCTGTTCTATATCTTCTATAGAAGTATTCAAATCATAAAGATGTTCCTTGATGTTAAATCAATGACACAACAGTGAAATCAACATTAATTTACTTAAAAAAGTATTATCAGTTGTTATCAAACGGTAGTGAATAATTCCAACTTTTGAACATAAAAAACATTTGCAGAGCAGGTGAGGACCAATAAATATTATGACATTAAACCTCTCTGACAATCATACATGGCAAAAACGTTGATTGCATACAACTTTTGGAAATGAGGATTCATAATATACAATTTGGAATCCATCTAGATTGCATCAAGTACTATTTTGACTGGAACCCCGACTAGTTAGGAATTCCAAAATATGAACTTGGCTTTTAAGTAGTTAATGATGAATATTACTTTTAAGATTATTTGTTTAATTCTCTTGGGAAAAAATATTAAGTTAAATATTAAATATCCATCAACAGTACAATAAACTACCCATCGGAAAATGGTAAATGACTGCGTAAATCTATTTACCTCATCAACCAAACGGCGTTTTATGATGCCACGTCGAATCATTTCTTGTTCAATGACACGAGCATTGGCTGCATACGAATCTGCTATTTCTTTTGCTTCGGCTTCTTCTTCTTCATCTTCAATAGTAGAAACAGTGACAGCGGTATCAATGCCTTGAGTAGTTTCTTGTTGTTGAACACTTCGGCGCAATGGGGCGTTATTCGATGCTTCACTTTGCTGTAAGGCAGCCGCCTCAGCAGCTAATGCTTCAAGTAATCTGGCATTAGCAGAGCTTTCATCAATATGCTTCGCAGCAGTTGGTCGTTTCGGACATAACATAGATGCAGATAATGCAGCTTGATCATCTTGAAGTTTTAATGCATTCTTTAAAATAAATTCAGTCTAGTTAAGTGAAAAAACGTATACCACGTGATTAGTCATAATCATAAGACAGTGGATGATTGAGCTTTCTTTATTTGAATAGTAACACGACAAATGCAAGTATGATTCAGTAGTTTATGGAGTTATCTAATAACCTTTGGATTACGACGTTTTAGGCCACTTCACCTACTTGAAATTCGTAAAGTCAGATAGAATTGTCCACCATCACATAAAAATGTATGCATTATCAGAGAAATTAATTTTAGAATCAAAGGATTGATAAAAAATTAGCTACTTATTATACCTATAGATCATAAAGTATTTAATACCACCAGTAATACCTGCTATCATGTTTGTATGTCAACTATCCATAAACTAGATGACATAGTTCTATTTGCTGAAGACGCTGACAAAATGCAGAGTCTTCTGACCACTATAAGCAACTATGCAGGCATGTTCGGGATGCGATTCTCTCCCTCGAAGTGCAAAATGTTACTTCAGGATTGGGTTGCATCGACACCTGAACTAATGATAGGGAGTGAAGTAGTTGAGCGTGTTGACAGCTTCACTTATCTTGGTAGTCTCATCAGCCCTTGTGGTCTGGTGTATGACGAAATCTCAGCACGGATACAGAAGGCTCGTCTAGCTTTCGCCGACTTGCGTCATTTATGGCATAGGCGAGATATCCGTCTAGCAACAAAAGGACAGGTTTACTGTGCAGCAGTCCGTTCCGTCCTACTTTATGGCAGTGAAACATGGCCAATAAGAGTAGAGGATATTCGTAGGCTACTAGTTTTCGATCATAGATGTCTTCGAAGGATTGCTCGTATATCCTGGGACCACCGGGTAAGTAATGCAGATGTTAGGAAACGGGTACTAGGTAAGGATGGCAAATCGATTGATGAAGTAGTGAAACTTCATCAGTTGAGATGGCTGGGACACGTGTTACGTATGCCCAACCACCGACTGCCCCGACGTGCAATGCTTTATAGTGTAGGAGTAGGTTGGAAGAAAGCTAGGGGCGGCCAGACCAAAACATGGCATCAATCTATGAAGTCACTGACAAGTGGACTGAGCCATGTTGGTAGGTGTAGACTACCTGGTTGGGATTCGCGAGATGATAGCATGAAAAATAACACGTTAATTCATAAAACAAATTATACCTTAATGTGAGTTGAATGACATAGGTTTAAAACTACAAAAACATGATTTCCCGGGTTCGCAGAAAGGTCTCGATCATGATGTATAAAAACGGTCCCCTAATGGCTAAAGAACTTTTAATCAATAGGTTACAGATTACAATACTGGTTCAACTGCTCTGGTTTAGTTAAACCAGATGTACCATAATCTCCAACGTGTGGTTCAGAGACGGGTACTCAAACCAGACAAATCAATCAGTTGATTATGGGGAGGAACAAAACTTTGCACTTTGTTTACAAAACGTGCAGGAACTGTAGAGAACTACACATGTTATTAAAACTTTACCAGAAATCAGGGGTTAATTTTTGTCAAAGACAAATAAAATGGAACCCGTATTATCATTTTCCTATCAGTGCGACTCGGTAAGCGATTACAGATTCGTGTGTTCGAAGATGAGTTCTACGTAGATATGTGTAATTTATTAGTGATCTCATGCTACAAGAATAAGAATGTCTTAACTCTTCAGATAATGAATCCAGTTAGCAATTAAAGAATTTTAAAAAAGTTTGGTTAATTGGTAGTATATCTTTAAAAACATAACGGAAAGCAAGTGTATTAGTATCTGGCTTGTCAGGTTCGCCTGCTAGTGCTCCACTTCCTCACAATCACTGAACATTTTGATGACAAATATATTTGAATCTCATGGTACAGGGTACTTAACCAGGTCTATTCACTTCAGTTTTGATCTATAAGGAAAGTCTGTTGATTTCAAAACTTTAGATGGGATGTAAGTTTTTTATGATGGTTATCTATCACTCCGAGAAACCATTGTAGTCTATGAAGGGTTTATACAAGACTTTGATACATAATCTTTATCCAAGATAATATACTTTCGATTTACTATAAAGGACTTCTAGAGATCGAATTTGAGTTTGAACCACGAACTGATCTTAGCTAGATCACGATTGAAAGCCTGTAAGCACTAAACATCCATTTCGTCTTAGTGTGGGACTTCTCAGGAGTGAGCACCAACGATCCTGTACGCGGGAACTTCTGGAGTCCTGGTGAGAGGCCGTGACCTGTGAAGCTAAACCGTGTCGCGTGTGAGGCAGTTGCTCATCGAAGACAATGGAAGATGATCGTGAAATGTTGTGGATTGATTGAAGTTATACATCAACATCGTTAGATACCCACTTAGTGGTCTGGAAGTCGACGGATCTGGGTCCAATTCCCACGTGCGGAGTCGTCGGTGCACACTTCTGAGGAGCCCCACACAAGGACAAAACTGTTCCCTAATGATTTTAAGTTTTTAATGGTAGTTTGTCTAGCTAAGATAATTTTTTAATTTGAACCGTGAAAATATTTTATATTTATCGAAAATTACCGTTGAATTTTCTGCACTGTGACGATAAAAGATTGGTAATCCACAGCTTTTGCAGTACCTGCGAAACTGCTTCTCTATTCCATTTGGCCAACGTATATAAATTGGAGTGAGTGGATTAACAGCCGTAGCTGTTGTTTTATGAGCACGTTTGGACCCATCAATAACTCTAGCATCATCTCTAGGACGCTTTGGTAGTTTCTCTACTAGACAGTCAATTATCAGGGACATTTGACCACAGATACATGAATAGACAAACAGTGGTTTCTCACTTCCGTAATTATACCGTGGCCTCGAATCAGTTACAATATGTGTTGCTCGTTTGCGAACGCGTGGTTTATGATCTTTGCTCATATTTCAATTAAAAAATCTGGAAAAAATAAATTAGTCTTGTCATAATTAAAAAGAGGAAAATTCACCAAAATTTTTATATTAAAAACATTCAGTATAAACGAATATCAAACCAAATAAAAAGTCAGAGAGATGAATTAAGTATATTAGCCTCCTGAAAATCTGTTTCGTTCTCCTCTTCCATTGCTTGACTATTAATTAAAACAATGTCTGACTTTATGTATATAAGCGCAAGTATCGAAAAACGTCTTTGAGAAAAGTATGTACCTGACAAGACGCTAGATAAGCTTGAATTCTAAGTGACTATGAAGTACTTAACTGATCACGAGTCCGAATTATTGAGCATGCAGAAGTCTAGAAACTGTTTTATTAAACAGCTATTCTGTGGGGACTAAAATTACCCCTAAAGTAACTAGAATCTGTCTGGAAACTTGTCTGTGGCTGGTAAAGTGACGCACTAGCACTATTTCACTAATGTAGGTTGGTGGTATTAAAAAATACAGCCGATACAAATGACAGTGTCCACTACTTCATATTCCCGAACCAGATGAAATCAGAAAGTCTTTTGGCAGAACAAACAAAAGTATTTCGGTAAGTTAGACTATTATCTAATCTACTTGTTTTATTACAGCTCGACGAACCACATGGGAAAAAGTTCTCTTTAGGGGTTATATATGTACACCTCTAACAACAAAAAGCAAACAAAAAAGGGAAATAAAGGTGAACTTTGGGGAGAGTCCCTAAGATAAGTTGGTGTGAATATACGCGACAATGCATCAAATTATCACTTCCGCAGCCCGGGTAAATAATGAGGATTTTCTCCAAAATTTTCCCACTGATGATAAGTATGTCGTAACTAACACTTTTACATTCCTCAAAATTAACACCGATTTGTCCACTTTTATCAAGAATAAACACGTAAAACAATCAACATTTTGAAAAACTCAATGAATTACTTTAGTACCATCCAAATATTTCAGGAGCTCCCCTTTAATTCCCAAAAGCAACCGAGCTATCTGCGCACCCAACATAAAAATAGCAGTTTATATGAGGACGATTTACCGACAAGTTCTACACAAAGTTGTCGATAACATCAGAATGTTAAGTGTGATCAGCCTTAAGCAATTGTCCCCTGTAATCTGTGGACACACACCCAGGTCACTAAGATTACCACTAACCCAGCTTTGTTTTCAGGTCCCACAACAAGGAATATCCTTTCACGGTGTGGACAGCCGAGAAGTAATAACCGCCCTTGTTCCTCTACCAGCGCCCGAGGTCATCTGGTCCACGACAAAATCTCTTCCTCATCTCTTAATAATTCCTCTATCTTTACGACCAACCCTTCTCGCATACCTTTATCACCGGTCGCCAACAATCATAATGATTTAAGTCTCCTGAAACTACCCTCTAAACTACATATTGAAGCTTTGAGTACTTGAAACTTGTCTGATAGGAAACAGATTTCGTTAAATAAGACTTTAGAATCCCGTGTCATCAATGTATGCTGCGTCTCTAAAACGCGCATACAGGATCCAAGTACAGTCATTCATATGACCTCACCACGTCAATATAAAGGACCTGCACGATTTACTCTTTGCGTATCTGGAGACCACATTGCCACTTTTCATGGTCTCGCTGCTGTAGGTATAGTACCAAGTCCAAAAACAGTACAAGGTCTGTTAGGCTGGATTCCAATAGGCAGTCACCTGTGAGCGACAGTAAGTAATCGAAAAGATAGGGACACGCCATTGCCTTTGCCTACACTCCCATTGACTGCAGTCCGGGTGGAGTTAAGGAGAATCATCGTAGGAAGCTATCCAACCTCTTTCAAAAAGCTGAACGCCATGATGTAGTAATAGTGGGAGGTGATTTTAATCCTCAAGTGGGCAAACTAAACCAAACCGAAAGGCACTTAGGTGGATCGTACGGTATCGCGGTTTAACGAACAGATAATGGGGACCGTCTATTTCTAGCAGGCACTAACTCTATGTGTAAGGTAGAACATCACCTGGAGTGGCGACTCTCACAATCGACTGAATGATGGACCACATTGCTGCCAACCATCGTTGGAGAGGTTCGATAAAAGACTGGCACTCATTCTGGAGAAAATGTTTAGACTTGAATCATATTCTAGTACGAGCACTTGTACGTCTGCGTCTTACTGAACCTAAAAAAGTAACAGCAAGGAAACTCAACGTTCATCTTAATGACGAAAAGGTCAAGAATGTATTTTCAACGTCCGGCACAAACTGTAGACAATTCGACTACATCCTAGGACAGCTTAGTCACGTTATCTTTGATAGTCTTTAAAACTGAATTCAACCTCAAACTAAACTTACTCGTCCTAGATTGCATTGTTATTAGGTGTCAAAGCACCAGCTTATGAAAACGACTATATTTTGGTTGAGCTTATTTATACACATTTGAATCGATAACATACTTGACAACTGAAGAAGTGGGAGTGTCGAACAGTTCAAATTCGGGATATTCCACCCATCTGTATCCACATTGCATTTCTGCGAGATCCAAGTTGACAGAACCATCTAGGTGGTCATTCATTCCAAAATTCTCTGCCAAAAATGATAGGTAATGACACCCAACCCGTTTTAGTTTATCCATTTGCAATATTTATTTCGGTCTTGGAAAAAAGGTGACGATTTGATGAATTATTGAGTATATTCGTATCGATCTCTCGAAGAATTTTCCCTGAAATCCGCCTTTGCTTTTCTTCTTTGCTTCGTAGGTTTGTACCAACAGTGTAAGACTTAGGGGTTGAGTGAACGAAATATGGGTGGTATGAGACAACGAAGTTTATCGACCTTTTTTCGTACTAATATTCCTCTAATTTTAAATATAAACCGTGTAGCCACTAGTTTTCTGACTCTCTAGTAACTTCTGCCTGTTGCCAAGTAGTTTTAGGTCCTAACGGTAATGAAAGCAATCACATCAAGCACTATACTACGAGCAAGGATGGAAGACTGTGTTTACTAAAGTAATAGTTAATCGGTAACTGGGAGTGTCCCTTCAATAACCTTAGAAATTTGCACTAGGGAGCCCTGAAAATTCTCTGATGTAATGACATGACCTACCTTAAGGACCTAGTGTCCTTATGAGTACACAGTTGCAGCATACCACAGACCGATTCATGGTTATTCTATCTTAACTCATTCACCGACAGAAATAATTCAGACTGTCTCGACCGGTTGAGACACTCAAAAAATCATCAGCCGATAATAAATAAAATCTTATATTTATCTCAACCATAGAACACCAAGTTCCACAGAAACGGTCGCATAGTTTAGAAACATTAAACAAACTAAGTACTTATCGGCAAAAAAAGAATATGTTGTCGTACCCTGTCTCAAAAACTTGTAACCTCAGCAACCGTACAGATAAGATTACTACAAACTGTATCTATATTACCGACTACCAATGCATGAAATAAATCGTAGGTACCACACTAAAAACAAGAGCGACATATGGATCTTAAGAAGGCATCCAATGCATCGGAGTACATTGCGCACATCAAGGTCAAACAGCGGCAAAATTACTGGTGCGTTCAAATAGCTCGAACGATTCTGGACGGAATGGAAGAAGCTTTCTCAAATGGTTCAAATGGTTGAGAACGGAATAGGAGAAGCTTTCGCTTAACGGGCTTCCGTTTCTAGTAGCAGTGGATCACCAATACCTCCAGGCAGGAACCTAGGTATATTAACGATAATAGAGGATTCCGCATCTGGTGGCAGTGGATCACCGATGCCTGTAAGTAGGAACTTAGGTATATTTAATGATGAAACAGAAAAATATTAGTAAATTATAGTGAGTTACTGTTCTTAGTCCTTAAGAATATGTCAAGTTTCCTCATGAAGGACTCCTGGGAAGTCCCTTGGACCGGCTAACACGGCAGTGGGTTCCAGAATTTGACTGCCCGTAATCAGTGGAAGTTGTATCTACAGTCCGTTCTGCTATGTTCTGTTACTAATTTCTGCGTATTATCCCTAATGTTTGTATCTGAACTGAAATTATATATTTATTTCGTGGGATGCACCTGATTATGATGATCTAAACCATTGGAGGGTTACCTCTAAAACGCTCCTACTCTGATAGATGGAGATTCATAGGGCTAGAACTTGAGTCCACAAACTGATTTCGTGCCTTGTTTTTGCATAAGTTCCAATGTATGCTTATACCCTTTGCAACGGGAAGGGAAACACTGTGTTTCCATACTCCAAAAGGGGTCAAATAGAACAGTTGAAGATTAAGTGGAAAGCTCGAACTGGCCGAAAATGCGCTTCAATGTCACCGTTGCAAGGTTTTCCCGAAAGGCATTTTTGTCGCGATTCAGGTAAGACTTCAGACCATAGGGTATCAACACTCCTAGATCATTTCCGACTTCGGATACCTCTAGAGTGGAGTTACATAAGTTGCCTGCGTAGTCTGCAACGTGTCTCAGGTGGACTACTATAGAGATTTAAGTGGTAAAGGTAGGTCCGTTTTTACCAGTCGAACTATGAGATCTAGTCAGATCCTGTTGAAATGCCGGCCTATCATCTTGGTCACAAACTTCTGCTTCTGGCTTCACATCATCAGTGGGAAGTAATGAATTAGACGATTCTTGTTGAAGATGGTTGATGATGCAACGGATATTCTAGTTTTACAACTAGATACCAGTAGCACCTTCTAAATTCGGTTGTTACCAGTCAGATAGAAAATCAGAAGTCAAACGAGAAGAGGCAGGAAAGATATATTTGATTCGTTACCAATATATCGAGGACCTTTTCTATGAGCTGGCTAATGAAACGTAGGAGCTGTGTCCCACGCAGTATTGAAACGTGATCTGGTGCGGATGCATGACCGAAAGCCTTCAGCTAAACAAGTCCACTTAAACAACGTGGTCAGCATCCAATGTCGAACACTTAAGGAGCTATTGATTTTGGGGAATTATTTACAGCTACAGATCACTCCCCCCCCCTAGTGAGGTAGTGATGCCCCTAAGACGTGACCAGCCAGAAGTTTAAACCCAACGAATTTGTCGTTGGTAAACACTCTTCTGATAGCTTGCTTCGTTTAGCAGCGTCTGGTCGTCTTTCCTTAAACTATGGGACCAAAATGTACAACGTAGCAATAAAGAAATATAGTACAATGAAAATTTCTGTTCCTTGCGAAACTTCGTCGTTCTTTTCCAGCCGTCCTGGAAAAGAGGAAAAATAAAACGTGTGAGTGCATGTCAAAAATACACTCGTACTTGCGTAAGGACACAAGATGAGCGGAAAAAAATAAACTGATACACTTACAAACAGCGTAAAAGCGATCGGAAAAAAGGTTTTCTTTTGGTTTTTTTTCAATATATAAATATATATATATATACGCTCAAAAAAAATAATAAAAAGGTTTTGTTTTTTTTTATAAATAAAAAAAATGAGCATATTAAAAAAAAATTTATAATAAACAATGAAAGGGTAATTCAAGATAAAGCTTATGTCCTACGTGCAATATTCGTTAAGATGTTCTGGAAATCTTACTCGTCTTCCAGAACGCGTTGTTTTAGGTTTTTCTATCAACGTTGACGAAGTATCAAGTTGTGTGTCGGTTGTCGTGTAGGGTACTACGAGTGTAGTAGCTGTGTCGTTTGCTTGCACCGAAGGAAAATCGACGTAGCTAGGGTTTCCTTCTAGGTACGCAGCTTTGAGTCGATCGATACTGATGCTATCTTTCGTACCGTTCTTGTCGACTACATAGTACTTAGGTTCGCGTTGAAGAACTTTGAAGGGTCCTTCGTATGCTGATTCGAGGGGTCGTCGATGTGAGTCTCGACGAACGAAGACGTGTGTACTATGTCGTAGTTCGGGTTGAACGAAAACATCAGTTGATTGAGGTCGAGTGTGAGCAGGTTTAACTGAACGCATAGCGTTTGTAAGCCTACTCGTGTAAGAGTTTAGATCCATGTTCAATGAAGAAGCTGAAGGATCCACGAATTCTCCTGGGAGTCGGAGTGTCGTTCCGTAAACTAGTTGAGATGCCGTGTATCCAATGTCAGCTTTCACTGCATTGCGGATACCTAGCAAGACGAGTGGAAGAGCGTCTGTCCACTGTGAAACGTTTGAAGCTGATAATGAGGCTTTTAGTTGTCGATTAAAACGTTCTACCAACCCGTTTGCTTGTGGGTGGTAGGCGGTCGTTCGGAAGCGCGTGATTCCTAAAAGTGTGGTCAGACAACGGAAAAGTCCAGATTCGAACTGGCGTCCGCGGTCTGTAGTGATGGTTGAAGGGCAGCCGAAATTTGCTACCCATCGTTCGACGAAAGTGCGAGCCACTGTTTCAGCAGTGATGTCCTTAATCGGTACTGCTTCTGGCCATCGAGTAAAACGGTCTACGCATGTTAGGAGATATGAGTATCCGTTCGAGTCGGGTAAGGGTCCTACCAAATCTAGATGGACGTGGTCGAATCGAGCGTCAGGGGTTTTGAAAGAACCTAAGGGACATTTGTTGTGTCTGATTACCTTAGATTTCTGACAGCTTACACAGGAGCGTGACCACTCCCTCACGTCTTTATTCATGCCAGGCCAACAAAAGCGTTCGGCTATAAGTTCGATTGTTGCACGAGCACCTGGATGAGAAAGATTGTGCAACGTATTGAAGACGTTGCGGCGATAGTGTTTTGGTACAATTGGACGATCCCTACCTGTAGATGTGTCACAGAGTAAGGTTTCCTTACCTGTTCCCATCTGCCTAATACTTAGTTTAAGAGTTGTCGAGGATAACTCATGCTGAAGATCAATGTCTTCTTTTTGAAGCTGAGCGAGTTTAAGAAGGTCGATTCCTTGGAAACTGTTCAAGGAGCTAATTCGAGACAAGGCGTCTGCGACTACATTGTTTGCTCCAGAAATATGTTGTATGTCTGAAGTAAACTGCGAAATGTAGTCGAGTTGTCGAGACTCTCGCGGTGAGTACTTGTCTGAAGATGAACCTAAAGAGAAGGTAAGAGGTTTGTGATCGGTAAAGAGCGTGAATTCTCTTCCTTCGATGGAATGTTGAAAATGCCGTACAGCACAATACATAGCTAGGAGTTCCCTACCGAACGTGCTGTACCTAGATTCAGCGTCTAGCAACCGTCTCGAGAAAAATCCTAAAGGTTGCCACGAGTTGTTAACCCATTGTTGTAAGACTGCTCCGATTGCTGAGTCGGATGCGTCTACGGCGATACTAATGGGCGCTTGACTGTCCTGATGAGCAAGCAATGTTGCTTTAGCGATGTGTTCCTTAACTGTGGAAAATGCTTTACGGGCTGTGTCGTCTAAACTAATTGATTTCGCATTTCCACGAAGCTGATCGGTCAACGGTTTCATTAGGGATGCGCATTTAAGTATGAACCGTCTATAGAAACTTACGAGTCCGTTAAAAGTTCGCAACTGCTTGATCGTGGTCGGTTCTGGGTAATCCAGAATGGCCGCCACTTTGCTCCTAAGGGGTCGGATGCCTTGGGCATCAATGGTGTGTCCTAAGAAGTCTAAGCAGTTAGTTCCGATTTGGCATTTCTGAATGTTGACAGTAATGCCATGCCTTTGAAGTCGATCGAAAACAATGTCCAGATGCTTGAGATGCGATTCTCTGTCCGGACTTGCTATTAGACAGTCATCAACATACGCATGTACGAAGTTGAGACCTCGGAAGACGTCGTCTATAAACCTTTGGAAGGTTTGAGCCGCGTTTCTTAAACCAAAAGGCATTCGTAGAAATTCGTAAAGACCGAAGGGAGTGATGATGGCGGTTTTAGGAATGTCGTCAGTTGCCATCGGGATTTGGTTATAAGCTTTAACCAAGTCGATTTTCGAAAACACAGTTGTACCTTTCAAGGTAGCTGTCAAATCGTGAATATGAGGCAGCGGGTAACGATCGGGAATGGTTTTAGCATTCAGACGCCGATAATCACCAGTTGGCCGCCAATCATTGCTGTCCTTTTTAGGGACCATATGCAATGGGGATGCCCATGGACTATTCGATGGTCGAATTATTCCTAGGTCCATCATGTGGTTGAATTCGTTTTTAGCTAACCTAAGCTTTTCGGGAGCGAGTCTTCGGGCTTTCGAAAATACAGGTGGTCCTGTAGTCGAGATGTGATGTGTAACATTGCTGGTTACACAAGGTAATTTCGATTGCGATTGGTATATCCCGGGGTATTTGTCGAGTACTGCTTGGTACAAGGGGTCTATGGCGTGCTTAATCGTGACTGGGGATAACCTGCAACCAGAACAAGGAGTTACGCAAACGGACAACTTAGTGTTTCCGTCTATTAACCTTCGTGCGCGTGTGTCGATGAGTAGATTGTGGTGTTGTAACAGGTCAATACCAATGATTGGCATAGAGACATCTGCAACCACGAAAATCCAGTGTATGGGTTTGCGTAAACCCACGTTAAGGTAGACGTACCTTTTACCGTAAGTAGCGATCGGCTTTCCGTTTGCCGCCTGTAAACTTAAAACAGACTCGCGAAGTCTGTCGTCGAGATTTGCTGGAAGAACGCTAACTTCTGCGCCAGTGTCGACGAGGTAGCGAACTTTCGTAGTCACATCCGTGACATATAAGAGGCGGCTGTGTTCGCCGGCTACGGTTGCCGTTAACGCGTGCCGGCTGGGAAGTTTCCCGAACTGTTTTTCGTGT